ATAATCATAATCAATGTTTTTTTGCTATGATATCGATTTTTATATCACTGTTTATTTAGTAATTCAAAATTTTTGAGCTTAAATGAGTCATTCATTAAGTAATCTAAAATTTCAGAACTCAAATTATTAATCTTTCATTAATTAGTAATTTTAAAATTTTATCATTCAGTATCAAATTATTCTCTAATTTTCAAACTTTCATCTTTCATTGCTCCTCAATCAGTAACTCTCATAATTTACTTTTCGATGTTCCATTATTTTTTAATATAAAATTTTTTAATTTGTATTGATTTCTGGTTGATATTTTTCACTTTTTGACTAAAATTTTTCGAATAATCTATAATTTTATTGGTACTGTTCACTGAAAACTTAATAATAATGATAATATTTTGAAAAAAATGGGTCTGAGCACACTTTGTCTGTGCTAACACGATGAATTTTCAATTAGTAATCGTTCATAAAAAATATGGATAGTTACATTCAATGTTTGTTTAAAGCATCCGAATTCTTATCATACACAGATTACTTAATCGAAAAATACAATTTTTTATTGTTGTAACCAATTCATATTGTTATAAACAATGCATGTTTAATAAAAATTATTCTTAGTTGTGAACAATAATGTCTAGTTGTCCTGACTTTGAGTTGGCTGAATAAGAAGTCGAAAATTTGTGGACTGTATATTCGAGGATATTTGGATGCTAGAACAGTCGGGACTTTTGGACGGTGTAAATGAATCGGCTGACACTATTTAACAGTAACAATTAACGATTTATTGAACACTAAAGTAACAATAACCGAAAAATAACGATGGGAGAGACTTTGAATTGTCTGTACAATCTTGTGTTCATTGAAATTTCACAAAGAGTTGACTGAAGAGTCGAAGTTCACAGGAAAGTTGTAAGTTTTTCTGTACTGGTCTCTGCATCAGGAGTCGTCTGGATTTTTCAAGTAGTCTGAGTTTTATTGTGTTGGCATCTAGAGTAGTGGTAGATACTCGGCGCAACGTCACCTGCACATTCTGCCCCCCTTATCCATCTATTCCCCCTCGTCAAACTAGCGCGCTCTCGCGGCTCATATTTACAGTGCCGATAACACGCTACTCTATACTGAAAAGATCACGCGTGACGTCACGACGCCATTTTTAATTGTAAATATCTCGATAACTAATTAATAGTACGAGATAATTTTTAATATACGATCAATTATAGTCATTAGCTTTCATTTGATTCCGAAATCAATTTCATTTATTGAGTATTTATCGAGATACAGAATAGGCCACGCCCCTAATTCCGTTTTTCGCACATTTCAACTCGATTTCTAGCCTCTTCTTTGTCAGTCTTACCTAAATGCCATCTAACGCGAACCTTTTTCTCGTGGCAACAATTTTTCTACGATATACATAGGTATACTCCAAATGTATAAATATAGCGAATGAATGGTTTATGTATTTCTTACGTTAATATTGATAAGAAATACAAATAATGCTATTTATATGAAGATTATCTTAAAATATGAATACTTTTTTTCCTTTAATTAAAAAAAAGTTACCAACTATGTTACATGGATGGTAATTGACTCTATTTGTTTATAACGACTGAATTTGTTATAAATAATCAAAAACGGAATTTATGCAATTAATTCGAATTCTTGCAACGGGATTTTTTTCTTTTTTTAACTGATAAAAAGTTATTACTTATGTTGAATAAATGTAATCGAACATGTTATTAATTACGATTGTAATCGCTCTAAATGAGCATATATCAAATCTTACATTAAAATTCGAATTTTTACTGACCCAATTCATTCACACAAATTTACTACTTTTTCTTTTATGTTATCACAAAGTATTACGTACTTAGAATTGGGACATCTGAACGACGCAATTCTTATTTAAAACTTCATTTAATCAATCAATCTTATGTACCGCAATCATGCCATATCGATTATTTATAATAAATAAGAGATTCTATTCATTGGCTGAAAAAACGAATGGTTTCTAATCTCCGTCCGTCAATTCTTTTAATTTATTATTGTTTGTACTAGTCTCTTTGAATACTGTTTGTATTCACACGGACAAATTTGCGAGAATGAGCTCGTATCGTAGCATAAATAACAAAAAACCAATACATCCTATATCTTTTGTCAGACTCAATTTCTTTACCCTGGTGCACTGCAAATCCCAGGATTCCACAAACATGTTAAAATAACACACATAAAGCGTATTCAATGTAAAATATCCATAAACAAACAATAAATTATTTGTAGACACTTTCTATACATTTCATAGTGTGTGAAAAATCTATAGTTTTTCACGGCATTTAACATTGAAGAGGCTTAGCGTGTTAAAAGTGTCTACAAGAATAACACACTTGGATTTGCAGTGTGAAAAAATTGGTATCACTTCGACTTCGCTCAACTATTCTCAAATCAACTTGCCTTGCTGTAATCATTGCTAAAAATGAAAAATAAATTTGAACAAACGTCTATATTTAAACTAATAGAATTTGTAATAAACAATCGAACTAGAGATCATCACGAAAAATTTTAATTGTTTCACTGTAAATACGAGCTTTAATTGAACTAAAGTTACCGACGAAAGAAAAGAGATTTTTAAAAAACATTTTTCGTTATCTATTGATCTTTTATATAAAGATCAGTGACCACGGCAATTCCGCGATATCTTAGGTTTTTAGTTTTTTTCAAAATCAATATTATCTAATCTAATATGAAAACTTATTGAAAAAAGTAAGTGAAATCCGCCAAAAACAAATATCGTTCGATATCTGTAAAAAAAAACGGCGCCACTTCACTGTTGTTTGGAAATCTGATATTTTCAAATTATTCTACATGCAAAAAATGTTTGAAATTATTAAAGTGCGCCAAATTTGACTTGCCATAATCGCAAAACCATAAAATTGTTTTTATCAATTGTTTAATAAAAAAATCACATAAGTATGCGTAAGAAATTGTAGATCAAATATTTAATCGAAATATTAATAAACATATGATAGCCTAAATCTTATTCAGAATTTTTCTTCAAATGTTCGAAGTATCCTTCTAAAACTGCCATCATCGGATGAAAGTAAAACTTTGCGCCATGTACACGTCCCAAATGACTCTATAATAAAATAACTAAATTCTCATTTTTGAATAACCATTTAAAAAAATTTTGAAACACCAAAAAAGTTTGAGTCAAATGGAGTGCAATGTCATCTATAAGATTGAGTCTTTTTTTTTGTTACTTTCGATGAATTGTGTAGAAAAATACTTTTTCGAATTTTCTTGAAATAATTTAAAAAGTCATTTTGTAGATGAAAATTTACGATAACTTTTTTTTGCAATCAATTTTTACTTAATCTGAAAAAGTAGCTAGTTAAAAAAAATGTTATAACACGTGGCTTAATTTTTAAGTATTATATCCAGAAATCTTCTATCAATAGAGAACACATAAGGAGTTCCCATCTGAGTGTAAGACCTGAACCGCAGCTAAACCGAGTGAACCATCTACATTATCATCAGGGCAGTGACTCTCACAGACTACTAAGCGAGTCCTGAGAAATCAGAGATCGTTTTTTATATGAGAGCATGCATTATCATCAAAAACAGCCCCCTCCTTCTGGCCTGTACAAAAATGTGCGCCAGACATAAATAACGACAATGATGAAATTAAAAAAGTCCTAAAATCATTAAACGCCAATTATTTGAATCTGTTATATCCGACTAAATATTCGTTCACCACGTGTCCCTTATTTCTTTTTCTGTTTCCCCCTTTCCTCTTTCCTTCTACTTTTAGCATAGGATCTAGACCGCTGACCAGCATTTTTCTTTTCCGTCGACGATGGTCAGCTCTTTCCCAAGCCTTTTGACTTGTGGCGGGGCCCAGGGCCCCAAACTGCAGACGGTGCGCATTTTTTCCGTTTTGTTCTGTGGACTGGGAGTTTCCCAGCTTAATCAGCTTGAGAAACTTTCCAGTTCACCAGAAATCGCGCATACATAAAATGACGACTCAATCCTTACAAAGCAATATTTTGTTAGGTCGTTGTTTATGTCGGCTGCTGACATTCAAACCGGTGCAGGGTTACTTCCGGCGACTCTGTTTACACTCGGCCACTTCGTAGACCAAACAGCTCTTATCAAGGCTTTTCGTCGAAGACCACAGACCCGTCAAGACAGCCCGCGTATCTAGCATCGCGTAGAACTAAAAAAGATTTATTCTATCTTCAGTCGTTACAATAATCTCTCCCGAGACGCAGTAACGCGTATCAAAAAATCTCAACTTGTGAATTAACCTAACCGTTTAAGGATAGGGATGATTGTGCCGGAACAGAGCAATCGGAAGTCAGGTGTTATAAAAAATAAAGTATCTTTATTTTAAGCACTAACAGGTACACTAAGTATACTGACAAACTTGTGTTGTTAGCTAGGAAGACTAAATGTCGCTCAAAATCACTGAATGTCTATTTTTAATTATTGAATCTGAATTGAATGTCTAAAAAATACTCAACTTGGTGTGTCCGGTATTATTGACCTTCCACACGAGCTCAGCACGCTTCTCAAGTTGAGCAAGAATGTGATTGTGCACGTGGCGTTAGCTTATCAATGCAATGCAAAATAAATTTGATGAAATGTCTTGAATATACAATGAAATATCGTGAAATATTACTTGATTATAGATTTAGAATAAAACCTGAATGTTTCTGATGATTTACAATAGCACTAGTACTGATGATTGACTCAAACTTGTGAGATTTGTTAAGAATGAATAAGAATGGCGTGTACACGTGAACGAGAACAGTGAAAGAATGGCGACAGGAACTTCATTAGTCAACAGGGACACTGAAAATTAGTCAAATGATTGACTAAATTAAGAATTATTGATTGTTCGGTCGATTGGTTATCGACCCAGCCCCAAGATGGCCGCCGAAGTTCCTGTCAACTGGCATATTCAAACTGAGAATTAATTAATTCTCAACATGCCGCCCGCCATAAGCAACTGGTTAATGATTGTCTTCTGGTTGATTCTGCTGCTGGGCTTCAGGAGTTGGATTGATCGGTAGAATAGCTAGCTTGACGATTGGTCTGACCAACGTCGTTGTTGGTGTCTTCACCGTTGCTACTCGTGGCAGCCCGTCTTGCCCTGGGTGCAATTGTATGATCCTCACGAGTGGCCATTTCGTGGGGGGAAATCTTTCATCAGTTAGCAAGGCTAATGCACCAACTTGAATTGTTCTGTTCCTGAAAAACCACTTAGAAATAGCTTGTAATTTTTGTAAGTAAGATTGTGACCACCTGTACCATAACTGCTGTGATTGTCGTTGAATCATCCACCATCGATTTTGAATTGAATGTGCAGGTTCTGAGGTTGATGGTTCAGGAACAGTGTTGAGTGCTGACCCAATAAGAAAGTGTCCAGGAGTGAGTGCTTGAATGTCTTCTGGGTCATCACTGATTGGCTCTAGAGGTCTTGAGTTGAGAATGGCTTCTATTTGTGTCAGTAGTGTGGTGATCTCTTCAAACGTGAAGAGCGATTCTTTTACTGTTCTCGTCGAATGAAATTTAAGTGATTTCACTACTGACTCCCACTTGCCACTGATGTGTGGTGCTGCAGGTGGGTTGAATGACCATTGACTGCCGTTGGTGATGATGAATCTAGAGATGACCTCATGCTCTCTGGTGAATTGTGTGAATAATTTTTTGAGTTCTATATCAGCTCCTATGAAATTTCTGCCACAGTCAGAATAGATTGTCTGGCATAATCCTCGTCTAGAGGTGAATCTCCTGTAGGCAGCAATGAATGCTTCAGTTGAATAGTCACTAACTGCTTCCAAATGAACTGCAGAAGTTGACATGCAGACAAATACACAGACCCAAGCTTTTCTAGTCTTGGCTCCTCTGCCTGATGATGTTTTGATTATGAATGGCCCAGCATAGTCTATGCCAGTATGAGAGAATGGCCGTGAAGGAGTGATACGTGATTGTGGCAATTGGCCCATGAGTTGTTGTGCTCTTATGCCTCTTTGTCGAGCACATTCGATGCACTGAAGAATGAATGTCTTTACTGGAGCTCTTCCACCTATGATCCAGTAATGTTGTCTAATTGTTGTGAGTGTAAGTTGAGTGCCACCATGTAGTGTGGTTAAATGATAATGTCTAATAACAAGAGTGGTGAATGGTGAATGTCGAGGTAAAATTGATTGATGTTTTGAATCATGACTCAACTGAGCATGCTGAAGTCGTCCTCCTACTCGTAGAACTCCTTCTGAGTCAACGTATGCTGTGAGTCTGTCGAATGAATGGTTTGGTGGAAGATGGTGATTGTTGGATAAAGTCCTGATTTCTTGGTGAAAATGTGCTGCTTGAGTAGACTTTATCCAGAAGATTCTCGCTTTTTCGATGTCAACTGTTGTGATTGATGCTTAAGGACTGGTAACTGGTGAATGTCGAAGTTTTGAAGTGAATTTAATGATTAAGGCGGGATTCTAAGTAACTTGTTGAGCGTAGAATATCTGTTAACCAAGTCCCATTATTGTATCTTGAATTGCTGCTATGAGTGAAATTCCAGGACGAGCTTTTAAGTTACAAGCCTCGTCAGCTGGTGGTGAATTTACTGGCCAGTTTTCTTGATTTTCAGCTAACCAGGTGGGTCCCCTCCACCACAGCGAGTAATCTTTTAATTGATTGGCTGTGATGCCTCTTGAAGCACAGTCCGCTGGATTTTCCTTGCCAGAAATGTGGTGCCAGTGCGCGTCCGCAACTAGTTCTTGAATTTGCACTACTCTGTTCCTGACAAAGTCCTTTCAGCGTCCTGCATTTGAATTGATCCATGAATGAGTGATTGAAGAGTCCATCCATAAGTGAATTGAATGTATGTTCACTCTGTGAAGTGTAGCTCGAACATGCTTTGTGAGTTTTGCTAGAATTAACGCAGCAGTTAACTCTAGCCTGGGGATCGTGATTTGTTTGATTAGTGCTACTTTAGTTTTCGCACAGATGAGTGTGATTTTGGGCCCTGTGGACGGTGAATTGAATTTGAGATAGATTTGCTGCAGCCATCGCAAGCTGTGAAGCATCAGAGAATCCATGAATTTCGACAGTTGAATGTCTGGTTGTGTGAATCCATCGTGGAAGTGAGATCTCATGAAGTTGAGTAAATTCTTCTCTGATGATCAGCCAGCGATTGATGATTGATTGTAGGACTGGTTCGTCCTAGCTGAGGTTGTGTAACCAGAGTTCTTGAAGGAGCATCTTAGCTCTGATTGTGATTGGTGACACAAACCCCAAAGGATCATAAATTTGAGCTACTTCTAAAAGAATGAGGCGTTTTGAATATGTTGACTCATGGGTGACTGATTTTGATGTGAATGTGTCTGAGCTTGGATTCCATTGAAGTCCAAGAATCTTTGTAGTGCGGTCTTCGAAGGTGATTTTTTATTGATGACTGAAGATTGTGACGTTATTTGGAGAAGTGATTGACTATTTGATTGCCATTTGCAAGGGGGACGCGCCCGCCTTGCACCATTGATTAACTCCTTCGTATCCTTCATGAATGTCTGTAGAGATTGTTGTATTTAGTCTCGTTGGTTGATCTCCTCAACTGACGCCTCAAGCATCGATACGCAGTTGTATAGGAGTACAAGAGCTGCAGGTGAATAAATGAGTGGAATTCAAAACAATGTATCGTCCTGATGACTGTCTAGAATGTGTTGATTTAAAGAAATCTTCACACTGTTGGTCCAAGGATGATAATTGATGTTGATTTGACATAGGAACTTCTTTTAGACCCAGAATTTTGTTAGCAACTCTTGAATGTCTTCATGTTCTTGATTGTAGTAGCATGATGATTAATAGTGATTGACTGATGATTTTGGTGCTACTGGACCAAGAATTAGCCAACCAAGATCGAAAGTTGAGCTATCGAAGCTGTTGGAGATGAAAATGATATGTTGTTTGATGATTTGTCCATAACGTCAGCTCCAAGTAGAATGTCTATTGATTGTGGAATATTGATGTTGGATCTGCAGTTTTATCCATGAAATGAGTCCAATGATTTTAGAATAATTGCATGGCACCTTTGAAGTCATGCTGTCAACTAGTTTCATTATGTGAGCTCGAATGTGTATTGAATGACTGAATGTTAGAGACTGTAGCTCACAGAAGACTACACCTGTTTTTTGAGTGAATTTAGATCTTCCTATCCTCTTATGTGATTGTCTGATGGCGTTTTTTCAGTTGTAGCAGATTGGCTATTGAGTTGTGATTAGTGTTAGCTCTGATCCAGGATCTATGAGCACTCGTGCAATGTAACTCCCTGTAATGTGAATTGGCTTGACTTTTGCTGTTGCTAACAGCGTGAATGATCATCATGTAGATGACTTGGAATTGTTTTGACCTGAGCAGATTGCTCCCGTCGATGATTGTCTACTAAGTGAGTTGATTTAACGTCACTTGATTGATGATTTTGTGTGCTGATAGCATACTAGTTGGATGTTGATTGATTGTCTTGTGGTCATTCTGACCTTTGAATGTCTAGATGATTTGCTGCTTCTGAACTTGTCCTTTGGACCATTCAACTGAACCTCAACCCTCCTGAGGCCCGAAACCTCATGTGCTAGGTCATCAGTCAGTTTGACCTCTCCAGAGAGTCCATCAGCAAGCTTGAATGTCTGTGTTGATGATGATTGATTTTCGAAGACTGCTTCGCCTCCTCATTGCTGTGAAGTTGAAGGCTGAGTGTCTGATGATGCTGTTGTGATGATTGTGTCCTGGAAGACGCCTTGATTGTTGTTGCGTGATGATTGTCTGAAAGTAGTGAATGAGACATGGTGTGATGTTTGAGTTGACTCCTTGCATCGGTTGTTATTGGTGCGGCTGGTGTGTTTGTCTTCCAAGACAATTCCTGTAAGTTTTTTGTTGTCTACCGTCCTCAGGCGTTGCTCAGAGGCACGCTCTGTATCTGGGCAGACTACGATAAAAAGTGACCACCATTGCAGCAGTCATCAAATGAATCTACGCTCACTGTAGTTGAATGCGATGAGCGTTGTTGATGTCTGATTTGATTCGTGCTCCAGTTTCTCCAACTACGAATCCGAGCCAAGAGGAAGTCATGGAACTCTGAGTAAGTAGGTATCCGCTCAGATCATTATCCTGAGTTTCCCAGAGCTCACGAGTGTGTTGATCATGTGTTTGAGGAATGTGAAATATGAGAATTGTATCCCAATTCTCAGTGATTGTCCTAATAGCTTGAGTAAGTCCAATGAATTGTCTACGATGTGAGTAAGGATGAATCTTGGCTGATGTAGTGGAGCTCTTTTGACTCAGCAAACTGGCTGAAGAGTTTTTCCAGTGAACATTAATGAGCCTCTGCGATTCTCGTACCTGGACTTGAGTGTCGACATGCTTTAGTGAATGATCTTCGTGTGAGGAGGTTCTCTACCAGAGAAGAGCTGGACCTGAAAAGAGCTGATTTGAGATAATTGAATTTGATTACCTCATCCAGACCAGGTGATTGGCTATCATGGACTCGAATTGATCTCTGACTGACAACCAGGAGGCACTAGTTCCATGAAAATTTGGGCACTGACAGCTTAGGAAGTCGGGCTAAAGCTTGTGCGACGTCGATGCACCACTGGTGATGTTGATTGTGCTGGAGGTTCCGTGGAAGCACTTAGCGGATATCATGAAGAAGTCTGAGACTGATTGGTGTGAATGTATCAAAGACATCATCCACACATGTACGGATGATGAAATTGAGATGGTGGGCCAACCTCCTCGAGCACTTGATGTTCTGAATTGAATGACTCGTGCAACGCTGTGAGTTGTTTCTCCAGCGAGAGTCTTTCTTTTAGTGATTGTCTGTTGTGGTCTTTGATTTGCTGAGTGAATGACTGGCTAAGCGTAGCCGAGCCATTTGAGACTTCGATCTTGAGGTCAATTGATCGGTAGACCAGGATTTGATGGTGTGTTGTCTGTATTGTGCTTTAGTTTTCGATCTCCGTTGTGGGCTGGAGATCTGGCTCCTTCTTGTGATCAGTGTGGAACTACCAAACTCCTCTACGCCATCGTCAGGAGTCACGCTGATTGTGGTTGAGGCTTTGGGTCTTGGACTCTTGGTCCTCACTCTCTTTTGTTGTCGGCCATTTTGTGCACTAACACTTATTGTCTGCGTCTTCACTTGTGCACCAAATTTTAGTACTTCACAACCGAGAGCTCTGATCCGGCTCGAAGGACCATAAATGTTGAGAAAATCTCAACTTGTGATTAACCTACCGTATGGATAGGGATGATTGTGCGGAACAGGCAAACGGAGTCAGGTTTTATAAAAAATAAAGTTCTTTATTTTAAGCACTAACAGGTACACTAAGTATACTGACAAATTTGAGTTTGTTAACATAGGAAGACTGAAGTCGCTCAAAATCACTGAATGTCTATTTTAATTCTTGATTGAATTGAATGTCTCAAAAAACTACTCAACTGGTGTGTTCGGTATATTGACCTCCCACCGAGCTCACACGCTTCTCAAGTTGAGCAAGAATGTGATTGTGCACGTGGCGTTAGCCTATCAATGCAATGCAAATGAATCTTGATGAATGTCTTGAATTACACTGAAATCTTGAAATATTTCTGATTTAGTTTTAGACTGTAACTGATGGCTCTGATGTTTTCAATGCACTAGTACTGATGATGACTCAAACTTGTAAGATTGTGAGATGAATCAGAATGCGTGTACACGTGAACGAGACGTGCAGAAAGCGACAGGAACTTCATTAGTCAAAAGGACACCGAAAATAGCAATGAGTGACTAGATAAAGAATTTATTGATTATTGGGTCGATTGTTATCGACCCAGTCTCATATGGCCGCCGAAAGTTCCTGTCAGCTGGCAAATTCAAACTGAGAATTAATTAATTCTCAACAGAAACAAAAAAATTTTATGTTAGTAACATTTTTTTTAATAAAATAAAAAAATTCGCATTGAAATAACTCGCATAGATCTTGTAAACTTTCCATAAAGAATTATTGAAATTGGGTCGGTTGGTGAAATTCGAATTTCCATCATATCTCGAAATTTCAAGATATTTGCAAGCATCAAGCTAATTTTCAGAAAAATCTATAATAGATTTTATACGTATGTGTACGCATGTATTTATGTATGTACGTATTCCAGCATTTTTTTTTTACTTCGATATCTCAAGAACGGATTGAGAAATATGAAATTCAGCTAAAATTTTTTCGAAGGATATTGTTATGGAAAAAATCTGAAAAAAGTTTTTAATAATAAATAATGGTAAGGCATAGGAAAAATAAGAAAAAACAATTAAATCTTTGATCATTTGCTAATGAAATGTTTCTACATTAAAATTAAACGTAAATAAATAAACAATTATAAGATATCATCAATTATAAATTCCGAAATCACTTTTAGATAGGTACAAGAGGTTAGGTACTATCGATTACGTGCGGGTCTTTAGTTCTCCTCTCTAATGCTATGATCTTGGTATTGCGTGTCGATCGGTAGACTATCCATCCATACAACGTAGTGGCACACCAGACCTTTATATTGAGTCTCTCATCTTGCGATTTAGTCAGAGGTGTCTCGGCCAGGGATCAGGGCTCCGACCCCACCTCGCGCCTGACTAGACGAGCTTATCCTGCCGGCACCGAACTCCCTCAGGTTTGAGGGTGCGCCTGGGCGCTGCAGCCGTCCGTCATTATTTCCAGTC